CATCCATCACAACCACGGTCCTCCTCAGTGTACATCACAACCACAGTCCTCAACAACTATTATAACCACAAGTATCTCCAGACATGGCCAAGGAGAAACATTATTTGGGCTAAGAACCACCAGTCAGAATTGACTATTTTAAAGTGAGTTCCTGTGCCTTGATATAGTGCTGTTTTTCACTGCGAGTCTTGGAGCCTGGGTTTCAGCTTGTCCAGGAAGTTCCTCCTGCTCTACATTGTAGAAAACTGATGGGGGCATGCTCATGGGTGATGAAGGCCCACCCTGCCTCACCCTCCTGCACTCACCTCCTCTGGTGGATGCCGGACCTTCTGCAGATACTTCTTCAGTACTTCTTCTGGGGTTTTACCTGCAGCACAGGAGAATGATTGGGTCATCAAAGTAGACTGAAGGAATCAACTAGCTTTCTCATCCTCTGTATGCTAGAGAGGTGAGTTAGAACCAAGTTCAAAGCAGAAGTGGGAACAATTCATTCAGCAACTGGCTTTAAGAATTTGACTGAAAATACAGGTAGTGGAAGGTTATCTTTCTGGGTAGTCAGAAAGTTAGGACCTCAGGCCAGTGCTTCTGGCTTTTGGAAAATACTGCCACTGTCCAGCAGATGGAATCCAGCAGCTACATCCTGACAGGCTACAAGGATCTGGGGAATTCTTCAGGGGCTGGAGCCTTAGGACGGAGGCCTGTCTGAAGGCAGAAAATGGGGTCACACCAGCACTCAAGGAGTCACAGAGGAAAAGAGATCAGTGCCACCTTGACTCACTCTCTTAACTTCCCTGAGCTTCCTTTTTCTTATCTGTAAAACCAGGAAGATGGAGAGCATCTAACGCCAGGTTGGGCTTTGACAACTAATGAGCTCATAAATGTACAGCCCTTAAAGCACTTTGCCAGATAAGGGTGGTGTGTGCTATTAATAATATCAGGAAGAGTGGGAAAGTGTAAAATCCTGCCACTTCCTGTCGGACTATGAGCAAGGCAATTGGACTCACTTAAGAAGTGAAATTTTAACAGACTAGAAAAGTAGGGCAAGGGTTTGAGGAAGTGGCTCATGCGACAGACCCATCGAAAAGCTGAGATGTGGGCACTTCCCACCCACTGTCCTGTTTCTCTTTTAAGAATGGAGCTGCAGTTAATTGAGAGTCTATTACACTAGCCAGGTCCTGGGCTAAGTTTAACATTTTCATGACCTGACTTAAACTTCACCAAAAAAAAAGGCTGCAAAGTGAAGATATGAAGGGATGAGAACATCATTTTGCAACCAGTTCTAGCAACAAATAAAAGAGCAACCATAAAGCGAATGAGAGAAAACCCTGTGGTTCTAGAAGGTGCAAGTAATAGCCCGATGGCTGCTAGAATAAGTGCAGGTTCTATGTAGCCACCTAACTAGCAAGGGATAAAGTCGGGATATGAAGCCAGTGTTTTGGTGCTGAAGTCAATGTGATCTTTCCCTTTGAACATGCCATCTCTTTCTCTGCACCATCCTTAATATGTCTCTGTGTTGTTGTGCTACATAGTTGTATTTTCCAAGGTGGTTCTATCTCCTCCTTACACACTCCACTCGGGGCCTAACCGTCACAATCTACTGGCGAAGCCCACTGCGCAGATGCAGAACTTTATTGCCTAAATGGTGGGAGGCAGAGCCAGGGTTGGAAGCCCAAGTCTCTGCCTCTTGGCTTGATTCCCCTCAGAGGAAGAAGAAGCGGGTGGGTACCTTTCTTGGCTTGCTTCTTGGTGGTCTTGCGGCTTGTGTTAGAAACTCCGGGGATGGACTTGATTTCGCTCTTGCTGACAGGGGGCGGGTGGAGGACCAGCTTCGGTGGTCTGGTGAGACACACAGGCAATCCAGCGGCGCTCATGAGGATCCCAGTGATTCCTGGAAGGGGTGGGGCCTGGTTTAGGATGGATGAAAGAACTAGCTGGCCACACTCCGCAGATCCCTCCCTCTCCACTCACTGCTTCTCCTCCTTTCCACCAGAGTCCTCCCCAGGCATGGGTTCTCTACGTACTCATCTTAAAACAGCACGATCAGCTCTAACAACCTCCTCCCCTCCCCTCCCAAAACTCTTCCTGTAACAAATCCTGAAATTGCCTCTTCGCTTCGCATTCATCTTCTCTCCCATTTATACCTGCCCACTGCTTGCTTCATTCCTGTAAGCAGAGGTCTTACCTGCCAGGGCAGGGTTGACAGGACTGGATCCATTTAAGTTTTTTACTGGGACAGTAGGAACTCTGTGGAAGGAGGAGATGCGTTATGGTTAATGACACATGAAGTCAGAACTTCCTGAACCGACAGTGCGCTCTTCACAAAGCAGTGGGAGGCGACCTCTTCAAAAGCCAAATCAGACTCTGTCACTTCCTATCAAGTTCACTCGGGGTCAAAGTCCTAGCAAGATCTCTACAGCTCTGTGCCATCCGTGAAACATCCCTCCCCCTAATTTCCTTATCCCTACAGCCCCATCATGTCCCTGTGGCCACTCACCTCTTACTTGGCTGTCACTGTGTCTGCGTGGCAGGCACCCAACTGCCTCAGCTCCTGCCCCTGCTGCTCCCTCTAACTGAGAGGAGATAAGGCTCAGACCTCATCTACCAGTGAGATGCTGTCAGGGACACAGCATCTTATTCACACTATCACCCACCCCTTCACCTCACCCTGGATTCCCAAACCTTCGCGCTATCCAGCGCTCAGTTATTATTACGTTTCATGGAAGTTACGGTCTTTTAAAATAAGTTGCTGCTGCTTATCTCCTCTTCTAGAATTCAAAGTCTAAAAGGCAAATACTAATGTTTTGTTCAGAGCCTAGAACTAGCAGGCATTCAATCCTTATTTGAACAGGAGGCAGCCGCAGCTGTGGTACTCACCAGACACTGTGTTGAAAATGGAACTATACAACTTAGAGGTGAGGACGGGAGGGAAAAACTGGGAGAGAGCGAGGGAAGGGGGTGACGTTGTCCAAAAAGAAATGTACTCATTACCTGACTTATGTAACTGTCACCCCTCCGTACATCACATAAAGAGGCTTGTGTGTATGTGTGTGTGTGCATGCATGCGAGCGCGCGTGTGTCTGTTTGTGTGTGAGTACTGGGGCTTGATCTCAAGTCCTAGAAGCTGTGCTTTAGTTTATTCACTCAAGACTGGCATGCTGCCACTTGAGCCACAGCTCCACTTCCGGCGTTTTGCTGGTTAATTGGAGATAAGAGTCTCATGGACTTTCTGCCTGGATTGGCTTTGAACCCAAATCCTCAGCTATCAGGCTCCTGAGTAGCTAGGATTACAGGCGTGAGCCAACAGCACCTAACCTAAGAGGTGTTTTACAATATAGGTCAGAGTCCTCACTAGTGGAGCACAGGACTCTGCTCTCGAGAGGGTGCAGATGTTGCAAATCCCCCGCCGCATTTGGAAACCACTGCTCGAACAGCTGTCACTTCTCCTTGCCTCTGACACATATAAATAGAGGCCCAGGCTCCTCCTCTCTGGGTCCTCTCCCCAGGAACTCTAGCCAGGAACTCTAGGCTGGAGAGGCGCCCGCACAGCTGCCTGGGAAAGGCCAGGCCGCCCACAGCGTTAACTGGGAAAATATGGCACTCATGGGGCTGGGGCTTGCGCCATCCCATCTGCCACCCAGGCTCCCACAGCTGGTATGGAGAGGCTAGTAGATCTGGTCACAGATGTCTCCAGGAGCCAGCTATCCTGAGAAGAGAGAAGAACTGTTCTAGGGGTAGGGTGAGGCTGGGAAATGGGAGGGAGGAAAGGAGCTCTTTGCCCATTTCAGAAGTACTTATTGAAGCTGACTTTGTGTTGGACACTATGCTGGATTATCTGAGTGATGCAGTGGCAAACCTATACCTTCATTGATGGGCTATAACCACTAACACACAAAACCATGAACAAGCCTCACAACTCAAAACACTTAAGCCCATGTAATCCACCCAACGGCCTATGCCTAAGGTATTACTATTAACCTCATTTTATAGTCAAGGAGGTGATCAAGGTCACACAGCTGAAGGCTGAAGTCACAAAATCTGGCTCCTGAGTCACAACACCTACTCACTGTTTACATCACTCTGAAAACACCCTATCCTTCCTACAGCAGCTCAGAGTATGACGAATTAACCCACTGCCACGCAAGGACAGGGCTGCAATGGGACTTTCTGGCTGAGCAGTGGAGTCTATCTGTCTCCCACATTCCCATTGGCAGGGAACTTTTTCAGCTATTCTTAGCCTGCCAAGGTCCCTTGTCCCTGGTCTTTAAAGGCCACCAAAGGCTACTTTCCTCCTGAAACTGTCTCCTGGATAAATCAAAACCGAGATGTGCAGGAAGAGACGTTGCATTTAAAACAAGATCCATCAGGAAAAAGAAAAGAAAAGAAAGAGGAATGGACTCAATTCTGCACTCTTAGGCCTGCCCTCCTTTGGGTCAAGTACATGCAAACAATAAAGAAAATCAGATTTGATTCTCAACCCTACCAACAGCTCCTGGTGTAGTCAACCAACTTATCTGAGCCACAATTTCCTCTACCTCTATCTGGGGAGGCTGGAAGGGAGGATCTGGCCTTCTGGAGCCAGTTTCTTGGCTTCCCACCAGGGGGCAGTATACATTGACCGGTACTTCACCTGCTTTTTTTCTCTCTCTCCCACCTCAAGGCCTCTAGTCCAACTGATAAATAGCTGTGATCTGGGTGACAAAAGCCACCTTTGTTCCCACAAACTGGACTGGCAGGTTTCCACACCCAATTCGGCCAACCAGGAAATACTCGTCCCCAGAGCAGCCCAAGAACTGTGGGGGTGTGGGGAAAATTCTGGAGAGAGGGAAGGGAAGGCCTTCCTAGGACCTCAGACAAGCAAGAAACACAGAGGACCTGTGGGATCAACTTATCTGACAAGAGAGGTGTTGGTCCCTGCATGTCACTAGGCCGTGGGACACAGAAGAGTGTAATGGAAGGAGCTGTAAACTTCTGGGAACATCTGAACCCAGCTCAGCCCTGTCTTGCTTTGTGCCTTTGGGAGAGTTGCCCAGTCTCTCAGTCTTCCAGGAGCAGAGTTACTCCAGCTGTAAACAGATTACTCTGAAAGCCTGCTCCCTGGAGGGGACTTTGGTGAGGATTTAGGCCAGATATTTTGTAAACAGCTGGACCCTACACAAATTTCAGTGACTGTTTATACTTCTATTTCTCAAGTGTCAGAGGGCTACATTGGTTTCCACTCAACCATTTCCTGCTTTAATATACTAGGTGATTTTTTTTTCTGTTGTTGTTTGTTTTTCTCCAGAATCTTAAGGATAGAAGTATCAAGTGTAAAATGCAGAGTGGAGTGCTAGGCACAGAACTGAGAAATGCCCAGTTGATCACACCGGACCATCCCTCCCCCACGTTTCCTGGTTGTATAAATAAACCCTGAAGTACCATCCCTTTTCACTGATCCATCATCCCCTATTGGGATCCCAGCTATACAAGCCTGAGTCCTCCTAGGAAACAGCAGCCCAATGACAGGGCTTGTTTCTTGAATCCAGACAACTCTACTCAGCCCAAGTCCTCTGGCCTATCCATTTGTTAGCTAGTCAGAAGATTCCTCCTCATCCTGCTTGGTTGGTCTGTTCTCAGTGGATGGTTGGTCTAAGTGTTAACTTCCACTGATGAAACAGAGAACTGCGAAAAGAGACGGGCTGGCAAGGTAGTAAGAAACAGGGCAGAGGGCGAGAGAAGATCCCTGCAGACATCATGGTGCCAGGCTATACTTGTCTGAGTTATGCAGCAACCCAGGAACTCCTTGGCAGGACAAGAGTCTTGTCTCTAAGGCAAGCAAGGCCTAGCTGGAGATGGAGAAACTGGACTCAGGGAGAGGGCCAGGGGGGCGACGGCCACACTCCAGTGCACAGCCCTCCACCTCTTTAGAAATCTCCTGCCTGGGTCTGAATAATTCACAGAAACTTTTGTGTCCCCGCCCCCCCCCTCAGTCCCCCAAGTCCCTCTCTTCATCCCACCCTCCTGGACTTACTTATTTTTCCGTGGGAAACTTGCTTGAAGAGGTCATGGACAGAAAGAGGAGGAGGGAGAGGCTGAACAACGACAGAAGGTCGATGGCAAAGCCAGACAAAGGAAGAAACACGCTAATTAAATGCCAAGAAAGGCTGGAAGAAAGGATGGTAAAGGGGGTGAGGGAAGTGGGAGAGGTGAAAAGGAAAGTGCTGGAAGATAAGAGGGTTGGGGGGGCAGGGCGGCTCCCCTGTCAGGAAAAATAGAGAGGAAAGAAACAAGGCCTTTCTATTGCTCTTTTGAAATTGCAACTGTCCTGACCTCCACTCTGTTCTCCAGCCATTCTATTGGCAGGAAGAGGGAGCCAAAGAACAGATAAAGCGTGGTGGACTCCCTCATTGAAATTCAAAGTGATCTGGGGGTGTCTCCCTCCATGATCGCATTTGTCAAGGGTGTCAGAAATGAAGTGGTGTGTCAGACCTGCTCAGCTTTGAGTTGATTTAATAACTAGAATGTATATTCAATAGATACCTGTTAATCACCATACTAACCATGACAACAGCGAACACCCAACTATTATTATGTGTCGTGCATTGTGCTAAGTCTATGCACTGAATGTCTCATTGAATCCGTGACCACCCTCGAAGGAAGGTTATTACACTCTCCTTCTGTAAATGAGAGCACTGAAGGCAAAACTTGCTCTAAGTGGCACCATAAGGAGCTTGGATTCAAGCTCAGGCAGTCAGGGATTGAACTTCCCCTGCATGCCAGTGATCACCCTGGAACTCTCTGAGAGTCCCAGGATGCTGCTGCAGGGTTGTTCAAAGAAACTACATGGTGGCATGGTTTGGGTGCCCATTTCTCTCCAAATACTTCTATCAGCTCATCTGATTAGCAGTCTGGTATTTAAGAATGTGCTCACATTCCATGAGGCTTCAGCGGAGACAGTGAACCAGGGAATCAAATCTGGATTCTGTCCTTGGTTCTGTAACATGCATGCTGTGTGGCCCTTGATAGAAAGAAGGACAATTGTGAGTTAAGTGCCTGTGCCTGATGCTTGCTTCAGAGCAAAGGAGAGGTATATGGTCAAGGGTGAACACTCCTTCCACAGTAATACCTTGGGTGGGGAGGGCAAATCTGAGGAGACAGATATAACACACAACAACAATGGAGCTTGGCTGATCCCAGTGAAAAGGCAGGAACAGAGGCTCCTGCTCCCGCCCTAATCTTCCTCCTACTCCTCAATGGATCTTCCTTCTTTCCTTCCCCAGTGCTCAGCCTCTCCGCAGAGTGCCAGCTGAATATCAATGATATCTCCTCAGGGCAGCCCAGGGGAAGCCCAGACTCGTGAACTCAACTCTTAAACCATCCTAACTACTTGAGTACATGGCCAGAAGGCAGACCCAGGCCCCATTCAGAGTTAAGGAAGATGGGTGAGTTTTAGGGAAGAAGCCAGGAGCTGCTGCCAGCAAAGAACGGACTTGGTTGCGATCACGTCAGGAAGACCAAGAACAAGAGAAAGCTAGCCAGACCCAGGTGACTCACAGGTTATCCTAGCTTCTTATAGAAGTCTGAGATCTGAAGACTGTGGTTTGAAGCCAGTCTAGGCAGGAATGTCTGAGACTCTTATCTTCAATGGACCACCAAAGGGAGCTGAAGGAGAACTGTGGCTCAAGGGGTAGAGTGCTAGTCTTGAGCATAAAAGCTAAGGGACAGTGCCCAGGCCCTGAGTTCAAGCCCTAGGACTACATATGTGTATATATGTATATATGTGTGTGTATATATATCCATATATGTATACATGTATATATACACACACACATATATACATATATACACACACACACATATATATATATATATAGTGTGTGTATATATATACATATATGTATATATGTATATATACACACACTATATATATATACACACATAATTATAAAATATATAATCATATATTATACACACATCCATGTATACATACATGTATGCACACATATGTACATATGTGTACACACATATATGTATATGTATCTCATACACATTAATGGAATCTCCAGCCTCATCATAGCCCTGGAATAGCTTGAGTTCATGCATGCAAAGAGCCTAGACCTCACTGCACTACCTCCTCACCGTATCTCGACACTGGTCCACACTTGGTAGAGAAGCACTGCCGAATCAGAATCTGGTATCACACTTGCCGATGGATGATGAGCTGTGCGCCCCTGAGCGAGTGCACCCCAACTTTCTTCCTCTATAAAACGAGCTAACAATGCCTACCTTGTACAACTCCAGTAAGGACCAGATGGAATGACAAAAACCCTTGAAGCAGCACGAGGTGGGGGAGAGCATTCAAGCTGCAGGTCCTGACTTCCTGGGTAGGAATTTCCTAACTCCTCCCTGGGATTCTATCAAGGGTGCCATGACCAGCTTTCACAAGTGGGGAGGTCGGGGTTCTAGGAGGTGAGGGATCTTGCCCTGGATCACACGGTGAACACAAGAATCTCAATGAGACCCGGGGTCTGTGGGGGGACTGAGCTGTGAAACCCTCCAGTTCCCACTCCACGTTTGCTCCCCAACGTGGCCAGGAGCCACATTATGGCAGTAGTCCTTCTGCGCTCTGTGACCCCCAGGGTCAGCCCGAGGGAGAGAGGGAGCGCTCGGAGGCGGCCAGGGGAGCACCTACCCGGAGGCGATCAGCACTCGGGACTGCGCGATGGCCAGTCGTTGAAGGTTGGTACGATTCAAGGTGGCCAGGGCTACCCGTCCCGTCTTGCTGCTGGCTGCAGGGGCGGCGGCCGCAGCTCCCGCCGCTGTCCCGGCTGGTGCTGCGCTGGACACCTGTCGCCGGGTCGCCTGCGACGCGGGGGTCTTGGGCGGGGCTCGAAGGGTGCCCGTGGCGTCCGGTGGCTTGACTCCCGGGCCGGGGGGCGGAGGCAGCTTGGCCGTGGCGGAGGGAGCCCCGTTCTTGCGGCTTAGGGGGGGCTGGAGGGCTCCCCCGTTGACCACGGCCGCCTTGACACTCATCACCAGCACACACTGCGGACAGGAGCAGGGTGGAGCCGGGGGCGAGGCGGCCGAGGCCGGGTTGGCCGGCCAGGACTGCGCCTTGGGCAGGGTCCCGGTGACCATCGGGTAGATGAGGTCGAGCCGGCGCCGCACCCGGCGCTGGCGCTGGGTCTGCCGGTTGATCTGGCCCATGGTGCTGAAGTCGATGACATAGCTGAAGCCGATGGAGGTGAGGTCGATCCAGGGGTGCTGCCTCTCGTAGGCGTGCTGGATGGTGATGCCCACTTCCATGTCGTAGGGCGTCCAGGAGCCGTTGTCGTTTTCCCATTCCCACACCACGCCCTTCCCCGGGGCGGAAGATGGGTCATAGTAGTTGCGGCGGACAGGACGCAGGGTTCCTGAGAGGTGGACAGAGGAGCGGTCAGCCTGGAACCACGGGGAACCGTATTGCACCAAGAGACCAACCTGCTCCGTGCTGAATATCTTCCTGCCCACCTACAGAGGGTCCCGCCTCGCAACGAGACTCATTCAGGGCAAGAAGTCTGGGAAGGAGCCCCCCGTGTTGGCTGGGTGAGAAGCACCTCTTACCTTGGAGCTGGGAACATACCAAATGGATTTCCCTACTAGCTAATGATAGTACCCCTCCCTCCGCTTGTCTCCCGTGAGAAAAACGGAGAATAAGTCCTTCCTATTAGGGCTTTTGAGAAAAAAAAAATACAGGTGACTCCTTATTCATTCTCCAAGCATGTATCTGTACATGCCAGTTATCTGGATTCATGTGCAAGCCCTGGAGTTTACATGATGACACAGAAAGACCCCTCCTCCCCCCACGCATAGTAGATGGTCCCAAATATCCCTTCTGAATACCCAGTGCCAAAGGGCTGGGCTGTGGGGGAAACACAGGGCTGTGGGGAGCCAGAGGAAAGGGGTCTAACTTTGCTTCCCATTCTGGATGGCTGACCAGAGGCAGTGCCCACCAAGCAGCTCTTTGTGGTTGGCAGCGACTCTTTAGAGAGACAATAAAAATAGAAATTCCCAAACCAGGTGCATCACCGTGAGAAGAAAGGAAATCAGCTTAGGAAAAGACTCAGAGATTCCCTCCGTTCTATCTTACGTCAATGACAGTCACCTTTCTCAATGGTCTTGAGGATAATTTTATAACTGTCTAAGATCTTTCATCCCCCAAGCTCCAACACTCAGAAACATGGTCTCCCCGTAGGACTGGGAAGAGGAGCCAGCGTTATTACAGGGTATTGGTACAGCAGAGACGAATTAGCAGCATCAGAAGAGAACAAAGCTCCTAAGGGAACTATCACCCATTTCTCCACTCTCCACCCCCATATCGGAAGCCAGCACATTGCCCACCAGGGCTCGTTTGCTGGCATCGACATCAAGGCAAAGGATGTCTGGCTCGGGACAGAGTGAGAGGGCTGGGGAGGGCTCTGGCGATGCAGGCATTCCTGCATCTGTCAGCTTAAGCTCCATCTATCCAGGCCGGTGGGAAAAGGCTCCCTTCACTGGCCTCTGACCCGCCCCCCCTTCCTCCAACCCAGAGGGAGACACCAAGACTGGGACAGGATCCCATTCAAGGGGGGAAAGAAAAGGAACAATGGCTATTCAGGCCTTTGCCAGGGTCATAACCCACCCTCCACCCCATCTCCAAGCCCCTTAATGACCCAAAACATCAACATTCAGAGGCACAAGCAAGAAGCAGAACAATCCCCTATTCAGCACCAGGGCCTCTGTTGGAGGGGTCTGGAGGTATGGAGGAAGAGAGGGGAGGAGCAATTCCCTAGTTAGCCTCCCTTTCCTTCCTTGCTGGGGGAACAAAGAGTATGGGCTGGGTCCATGAGAGGTCCATCACTTCTGGCCCTGGGATGAAGCCTCAACAGGTGAAGTTGAAGAACGAAGAAAGAAGTGAATATTAAATGGCAAAAATAGCACCTGTCAGGCGCACAGAACAAGAAGCGGTGATTACGATTGAAGCTTTGTTTTTGTACTGTGTCTAAGCAGGATAAAGATGCGACAGGAAAAGCTTATAGGATGCAGTAGGAGAGGGACAGAGAGACAGAGACCCAGAGAGAGGAAATGAGTGTTCCCATACAGCTCATAGCTATACCATCTTTATTACTGAGTCTGTTACAGATAACAAAGTAATTTTAGAGGAGTTGACATGGCATCATTTTATCTTTTATCTGGAGTAGCACAGAGAAATATACTTGGCCAAATCTCACAAATGCGCATAAAGGGAAGTGGAGGTGTGGCTCAAGTGGTAGAGCACCAGCCTTGAACAAAAAGGCAAAGCCAAAGTGTGAGGATCTGGGTTCAAGCTCCAGTTCTGGCACATGCACATGCATATACACATGCACATGCATGCACCCGCGTGTGCGCGCACACACACACACACACCCTTTTTTTTTTTTTGACAACAGTGTTCTCAATCTTAGACATTTCTGAGAATTGCCCTGAACTTTTGGCAATGATTCCCTGGTTCTATGACATTCCTTGCCAGTATATCTTCCTCTAGATCTGTTTTCCTCTTCTCCTGTCAGAGGTCCTTTTTGTCCTCATGCCTTCCTTCTCTCATGGTTCCCTGACACCCTCCTCCACTACTTACCCGTTTCCTTCCACCCAAGTGCAACCTTTTGCCATTTTTAACCTATCCTTCCGATCCTACGTCATTTGCTGCTGGGCATTTCTTGGAAGTGTCCTCTAGTGTAGGCTCCACCTTCGGGAAGTTGGAGGTGCAGATCTGGAACCACTGCCTGCTGCTTCCAGGCTTCTGAGCCCCTTCCATGGGTGGTGTGAGTAGGACAAGGGTACAGCGTGGAGCGCTTTGCATTCCAGAACTCCAGCAACTGTGCTGTGCTCAAGACTCCAATGCCTATGCTATGTATTCACTGACCACATCTTGCTGAGCACCCATTAGTTGCTGTGCAGAATGCCAAGAGTCAAGCATTCCTCGAATAATATATGATCTAAAATGGTGTTGGAAGGCATATGTGTGTGTGTGTGTGTAACTATTTATGATGCAAAATATGCCATGGGCAGATGTCAGTGAAATGAAATACATGGTGGCGGGAACCACATCCCTTCCCTGCTTAACTCCTTCCATAATTTCTTCTTAGGTCAGGACCCAAATCTTCTCCTGCTACAATTTCTGCCTTTCACCCCTCCCTCATATTGTAACATACATATACTGCCCACATTTTCTTCACACTGGCCATTTCCCTGCTTCTCTGATTCTGGGGCTCTTCACAAGGCCAATTCATTATCCCCACCTCACAACCCCATCCTTTTGATTAATATGGTGTCTCTCTGGGATATCCGAATCAGGTCAAATTCTTGCTCCTAGTTTTTGCATGGCACTTATCTCTCCATGCAATTATACCTTTATTTGTGCAACAAGCTGGATGGATACTTGTCTCCCTCCTAGAACCCCAACTCCATGAGAATGGGCCCCCAAATGCTTGTTCCCCACGTTGTCCTATATGCTTGGTATGTCGAAGGAGTTCATTATGTATTTATTGATGCTGGGCGCTGGTGGCTCACACCTGTCAACCTATCTACTCAGGAGGATAAGATCTGAGGATCACAGTTCAAAGCCAGCCCAGGCAGGAAAGTCCCTGAGATTCTTATCTCCAATTAACCAATAAAACAGCTAGAAGTAGAAGCATGGAAGTGATGGGACAGTACCCAGGCACTGAATTTAAGCCTCAGTATACTACACTATGCTTTATTACACAGACACAGACACACACACACACACACACACACACACACACACCTGACTGAATAGAGGAAGTAATGATGATGTGTTGAATATTTAAAGAAGTGGGTGACAAAGAACACAAGGCTTGAATGATAAAGAGAACTTCAACAGGCAAACGTGGAAGAGGATGGTATTCCAGCAGAAGAGACATCATGGAGATGGGGATGGAGAGGGTGTCAAAGAGATCTGGGAATACATAAAGCACAGAAGATAGACCCAAGAAGGCACGTGACAGGCAGGGTATAGAGGATCTGGGATGTTAAGCTGTGATGGATTTAATTCTGAGGGGATGAGGAATCAGTGAAGATTTGTAAATCGACCTGACAAGACCAAAGCTGTTGTGTTCATTAGTTTCACGTGAGGAGGGGGTAGGAGAGGGACTGATGGGGAGGGGGGATAAGAGAGAGGTGAAGGACTGGAGAGACCCTGCACAGGGGACCTGACCTTGGCTAGCCGAATGCTTTCCACATGCCTTTCCAGAACCACACTTTCCTAATCCCCAGGAGTCCAGCCCAGCAATGCCCTCCAGAGCTAGGCCTCAGTGTCTCCTGTGGCCTGTGGTGGGAATATGATTTTTTTTTCTCATTTCAAGCATCAGACCACAATGTGCCTGTCTTTTACATGTTAGTCGCTCAATGAGGTTCCGAATGATAGAATAAGCCAAAGAATCCTGAGGACCAGGAAACATGGGGAAATTGGCATTGCCATTAACAAGAAAAGCTGCTTTGGGTAAGGGAACACTGCTGTGCTTGGTTCAGCCCTAGAATGTAATTAGAGTAAGGAAAAAAAACAAAACAGCAAACCTCAGAAACAAAGACTTGGACAAGAGGGATGGTAGGATTTCACTCAATGGCTACTTCCCTATTTGGAATCTGAGTGCCCAATTAAACTAGCCAGTCTGAAGACATTCCATCTTGTCGTACAGTGTGGTGATCCAGGGAGAAGACTTCTCATAGGATAGGAATCAAGAGTGATCCCAAACTGAGAAGAAAGAAAAGAGAAAGAAAATCCATTTTCCCCAGCCACCCAGATGCCAACATCTCCAAACACCCAAGATGTTTTGGCTTTGAGGAAGCAGAAGTCAATCATCACCTGCCAGGCCACGACCTGAGGTCTCTAAGACATGCCACCTCAACTTCCACCTGCACAAGAGATTCGCTGCGAGGCGAGCGTACATGGCGTTCCAAAAATCCACAGCCTCTCCCACCAGTGACCACCTGACTCTCACTCCCATGTCCCCATGAAGGCAAAGGCTTGGATATTCTAGCATTGCTATGTCCCAGGGGTCAACAGCTTTATAAGGCAGATGGCCAATACTGATCACGGGAGGCTGGAGTATAGTAAAAGGACGCTCAGTTCAGAATCCTGGCTATGCCATGGACAGAGCAAGTGAAGCCCTTGGGCAAGTTCCCACTTTTCCCCATAGAATGGGAATCTCAAGTCTTTACAGAGTTGCTGTGAGGACTGAACAAGACAGTGGGAGCAATATGCTTGGCACTATGCAGACCCACGGACCACCAGCCACATTGTAGCTACCTTGGAGTCATCGTAATGTCTGTCTCTTCTTGCCCTGGTGAAGAAGGGCCTATCATGAAAGCCCCATACAATCAGCTTCTATTGAATTCCGTCACCAAACCCACTCCATACATTTGACCTCTCGCTACATTAAAGACGGAAAGACACAAAGCTCACACTGAAAAACTCTTGAGCTGGAAAGAATCCGCCCTTGCACCATGCCAGTCCCCTTTAGCGTCATCACTGGTGCAGAAGCCAGACTCATTCCACCTGCTGATCTGCATGTGGGAGGGAAAGGAAAAAGGAAAGGAAGAAGGACAATCTACAGAGAGAGGGAAGATGTGGGCAGGCAGGGGACAGGCTCACGATCGCATGGTAAACAGTGAGTCCTGCCTCCCAGCCTGCGTCTTCCTCCTCCTGCCCCTGGCCCATGGAGAGATGTCTCTGATCAGGGCTATTCCAACATACAGAGGACATGATGATGCTAAAGTAAAGAAGTAAAGTTCTCTAGTCACTGCCAAACAAGAGATAAAGGCAGTCTGGTTCTGATAAATGACTTCCAGTAGAGAGGAACTCACTCATCTCTTCTTCTGGACCAATATCTAATGCAAATGAGCTCAGAAATGCACCCCCCCCTTCTTTCACCAGATCTGGAAGAGGGCAAGTACCCAGGGCAAACAGAGGCAGGCAGATGGGTGTCTGCAACCTTTCAACTGTCTCCCTGGTAACAGGCTTGAAGAAGTCAAGAGCCCAGAGATGGGAGAGACTGAAGACTCACAGAGCAGGGAGACCCCGGCAACTTCTAAAAAGGACAAAGCGGCCATGTCAAAGATAGAGGACTTGCCTCTAGGCAGGGAACTTCCAGCTCTTTGTTCATGGGGATGTTTCGGGTTCCCAGCTTTAAAGTGTGGCTTGGGGACGGTGGGTAATTTAATTAAACATTACCACGGCCTGACTGAGGTTGCCTGGGAGCTGGTGGCTTAAAGTTCCTCCCCTGTCACTGTCTGATAGTGAGAGAGGAACTGTGTGTATTGGTGGGGAAAGGAGAGGGGAGGGCGCTCAAGACCCCAGATACCCATAGATTTCGAAGCTACTTTGACAAGCTCCTAGACAGACCCAGCATTCCTGGGAATTCAGCCCAGTGGCTACAGCATCCAACACACAGCCTGGTAGAGAGGAGACAGGAAGATTGTTAGCCTTCTGTATATGCTGTAGAAATGAAAGAATGACACCACAGCAGTGTGGCTAGGAAACACACACTATGGGCCTATCTTTAAAAGGTTCTTGGCTGGACAGAGTGGTGCATGCCTGTAATCTCAGCACTTTGGAGGCTGAGGTAGGAGGACTAGGCTCTATATAGCAAGACCTTGTCTCAGAAATCAAATTGCATGTAGAGGTGAAGCAGGGCTGGGGAAGTGCTTTTATAATCTAATCACAGAACGGGCTTGTCCAACTTGTGTGAGGCCTTAGATTTCAATCATTCACTAATTAGCCCATGCAGGGCTAATTCTCCCGCAAATATCTAAATTCAAGGAATCCCGGCTTCTGTTAATCACTAGGCAGTAGTCAATCTGCCTTTAGGGAAGAGGGATAGAAGTCTGAGGGAAATCGCTTGGGTCCTTTGTAGCAGGTTTCTCAATAACTTTCACCTGTATGGAAGTTTCCTCTAGATCGTGACACCTTCCAGTTCCTGGCCCAGCAGACTTCCCTCAAACACACATTACATCTCTGCTCTTTCAAGCAGTGAGCTTGGGGGAGTGGGCCTGGGACCTGTGTATCACTGGGGTTGGAGCTTCTACCACATGCTACAGAGATCTAGATACAGCCAGAATTCCAGAAACAGCCCTCCACCTTGCCACTGACAGAGAAAGGCTAACATTTGCTGTTTTTTTGTTTTTCGAATTTTGGTCAGGACTGGAATTTCCTATCAGGTGGTCTCCCTGGCCCCACTCCCAGGCCTCTCAGTTGCCTCTGACCCTGACACCCTCACCTCTCACCTCCACAACCTCTACCCAAGTTACACAATGCACCTTCTCCTCCCTCTCAGCCACACACATAATCAATCCTCTTCCTCAACCACCCCACATTCCTCCATATTCTCTCCTCCTCCTAGTCTTTCCCCTGCTCCACCTCCTTTCCTTCTCCACCAGTGTTGAAGCTCGCCAGATGCTAAAACTTCTGGAATCTCTTCCCCCCCCTCTCCCCCAGAAAGCTTCCCCCCCTTCTTTCTTTCTCAATCCACTAGTGTCCCTGGCAGGAAGATTGTTTGGGAGTTCTGACTAAAGGCAGGGACAAGAGGGAGGAGATGCCTCTTTCCCATGACAATCCTAATTAGCACACAGGATGTGAGGGCTGAGAAGTCCAGCTCAGGCAGCTGTTCCTGGAGCCGCAAGGTCCTCCTCCTCCCCTGGTCATGGGCTCCCCTCCCTCCCTGCCACACCTGTCTCTCCAGGATGGGGTGGTGGTGGTTTACACACTTAGAAAAGCACTGCCAGAATCCCAGAAACACCCTCCACCTCGCCACTGAAGCAATGACTGGAAGACAAGAGACTGGTCCCTATCATCTCAATTATACCAGGATAGACTGGATCAAATCATGAAGAGGTCGCCTTGGTGCAGGCCTGTGGCCCTCCTCCACCCTTCCTGCACCTGATCTGGGGGAGAAGGCCGGCTGGGGAGTGGAGGGTTGAGATGGAGGAGAGTGGGGTGTGTGTGGGGGGGGTGGCCTTCATGGCTGGCAGCTCATTAATTCTCTGGGAAAGAAAGGGAGTTTAGTGCTATGGGAGTCCGGAGGATGGCTCGGTAGGCTAGGGGATAGTTACTCCTTATGAGCCTCCCCCGCCCCCCCCTTTCTCCGGGGACAAAGGGAATGGCTTCCTTGCCAGGCATTCCAAAGCCCCGTTCCTCCCCCTCCCCCGGTCCTGGCCTGTTGCTTCTCGGCTTGGAGGAGGCCGAGCCGAGGCACTGGAGAAATGTCACAGCCTCCAGGATGTTCTGTCTCTTCGGAATCCCTTCTCTCCTTCCATGACGTACCCCGTGGGGGGCCTGACCCTGGCTACACTCGGGGGAGATGGGGTGCGGAATTCCTTCAGCTGCTGCCAGCCTCCCCCCACCCCCGTTCTTCATACACCGAGGCTTTCCTCGCACGCACCATCACAGGGGGCCAGAGGCACGAAGGAGGCCGAGGAGGAGGCCCCGTGGGTGGAGGCCCCGGGATGCCCGAGGCCAAGCAGGTGGGAACAGCCGAGGGCTGGTGGCCAGGGAAGACTCTAGCCAGCCAGGGCTGGAAAGGGGGCGTGAAGGGGAAGGGAGCCCGCTTCCGGGCCCCGATCACCACTAGCAGGTGCTGGTTCGGCGGGGGTGTGTGCTGTGTGTGTCTCAGGGCGATCCATCAGCGCCCCCCCCGCCCCATCCCGTGATCGAAGCGCACGGAGCGGCCGCCGGGCGCGCCGGGGCGCAGGACGCGGGCGGCGGGCGACTCACCCGTGTCTTGCCGGAACTGGTTCATGGACTGCAGGTCGATGATGTAGGGCGCCAGGCGGCCGTCCACCTGGCCCAGCACCACGCTGCCCCCTGCGCGGGGCCCGGCGCGGACCACCGCCTCGATGTGGTGGCTCACGGCGGGGCTGTAGGGCCGCCAGCGGCCGTGCTCGTTCAGCCATTCCCAGACCACCACGGCCGAGGCCAGGAGCATGGCGAGCCCGGGGCTGCGCCGCCCGGGCCCCGAGCC